GGTCTTGTACATGTTCGGATCCACCGGGGCGTGCTTGCGCTCCTCCTCAGGCAGGTCCTCAGTCGGGTGGACGTAGGCATCGCGGTCGTGCGGCTTGTAGTCATCTTGGTAAGTTGTCATGAGTATATTTCCATTTTTTGATGCCTGTCTTAAAAGATCATTGGTTTCATTCTCTTGGTTGTTGTTCGCTTTAACTTTATCGTTTCTGTTTTTTTCATCATTTTCAGACTTTGGCAGATTTGTGCTCTCCATTGTTTTCTTTTTATTTATTTCCCTTTCCTTCATATCTTGGACAGTTTCCTCTGTGTTTTCAGAGTTTTTACTGTGTGTGCTTGCATGAACGTTTTTATTCACTTCAGTATCAAGGTATATTTCCATGGATAAGTCTTCATTTTTGTCACCTTCTTCTGGCATGTTTTCTGTATTTTCACTTATCTTTGGAATTTTATAGTAGGCTGTGTATAAATATAGTTCCTATGTAAATATTGTTGATTTCTTCCTTAGTCTGAAGATTTTAATAATTTGACACTAAAAACAAGAGAATGTGTATACTATAAATACCTTTTTTTTCCTGCAATTTGAAGCGCGGAATTATAATAGAACCTTCAAATTATGCTACACGATTTAGATATTTATGAAGGCCCTTTTTTGTATTTTATTTTCCAGAAATACAAGTCTATGCAATAATAATCTCACAAATAATCCTTTCAATTTTTTCAGTTCATAAAAACATCTAGAAAGTTCGAAAATAAAGTATGAGACAGAATTAGGGAATATAAGTCGAAGCATGTAACATGTATTTTCTCTCTTTGTTATTCATCAGCCTTGTTCTGGTATTTTAAGCAAGTATATATTCATGCGTATTTTTTCCATATTTACATTTGAATGTGTTTATTTAAGGTACAATTTGGTTGTTAATATACAGGCAAAAATATACAATACATCACTTTCGTTACAACCATGACTAAAAAGTAGAAAAGAAAACTCCAAGTCAATATTTGAGGGCAACTTTGACTTCATCATCTTTTAGGAATGGACATATACATGTGTATATATCTATAGTGGGAACTTAGGAGGTGGTAGAGATCGCTGAAAACAGCTGTCTGCTACAGTTCTCTCAGCAGACATTTTGGTTGTCAAAAAACATGTGCTTTGATGTAGAGAGGCGCCACTATGATGAGTGGGGCGTTTTGTCGTTACCCGAAGTGGATGCGTTGTAGCGATCATAGAGACCTCACGACATTTTTCACTCCTCGCAGTATCAGAGTCGCGAGTTTCTTCTGAACTGTTAAAAGCCCCGACACCTTCAGGACCGCTTGTCTTTGACTCTGAGATGTTCGACACCCTCCCAGTTTGTTCTTTCCCTATCGGCGCTATCAGGCGCTCCGCGACGTCTGTGAGGTAGCGAGGTGACGAATTGCCGGTGCCGCTCACTTCCCTATTCCCGAGGAAGTGAGCGGTGCTTTTGGATCCCGGCTTCCCTTTATCCTGGAGTTGCTGATACGTATCGTACAACGTTCTCGGGGACTGCACGCACAGGCGTTGCCGTCGGGCGCTCATTGCGGCGGCCTCAGGATTTTTAGCCTCCGGCACTGAGCCCCAATCCACCGCAGGATTGGAGAGGTACAACCCGTATTCGATGCTTGTGGGCTGCCCTTCAAACACCGCCACGGTGCCTGCGTCGGTGCTGAATATCAGCTCGCGGTCCAAACCTTTCGGGGGCTGCACGGGGTTGATACTCGTTCGGCCTATGCCGTCATGGTCCTCGCCCTGTGGAGGGGTGAAGTCGTTTGTGAACGTCGAGCGCCCGGCGTTCGCCCACTCGCGGACCTTATCGCTCAACTCGCCAGGACCGGCCGCGTTGGCCATTATGAGTGTCATCGTGGAAAGCGGTTTCGCCGGATGGCCGGAATCAGGTCCCCGCCCGCCTGCCGATTTGATGGCTGCCTGCATGGCCTCTAGGTCGCGGCTCTCCTTCCAATCCCCGACCAACGTTTCATGCCCGTAGTGGTTGTCAAAGAGGGGTAAGTTGCGGCTGTCTAAATTCATTTCGAGTGCTGTTTCTTCCGCGGTTATATTGATTTACCTTCTCTTCTTCTTATTGCTAAGTTTCTGCGGCTATATTTTTGTCGACAACGCTAATAAATAGTACTCTTTACGGCATGGTAAACACATCGTAATGACAAAAGAAGAAAACATGACAATAGGGAATAGACGATGAAAGAATGAGGATTAAGGGGGAAAAACACGCAGTAAGATGCCATAAATGACCAAACACATTTAACAGAATATTAAAAGTTATTAAATTATTTTCCATTGGATAAACAACACTTTGGCTCTGCACGCCTTTGTCATTAATTAGCGTTTCGAATATGTTTGGCCGGCACAGTACTTCAGATTAATATTATGAAAGTATTAAGTGTAGGTGCATATATTTAATATTCATGCCTTTCTTTTTATCTTCAATTTGCCCTTTAGTGTACGTTCACTTCGTGTAAGCTTCTTTTGTCCCTCCTTATCACGCGCAGACCGGGATCGTTTGCCTGCAGCTCGCGGAGTCTCCTCGTCGGCGTTACCACTGGCAAGCGTTTCACTGATTACCAAAGGGGCATTGGCGTCTGAAACCCTTTGACTGCTATGAGAGCTACTCTTCCTCTTCCCCCCTCGTATTTCACTGGGTTGTTTACACCGATGGCTGGTGTCTTCGCTCTCGTCCTCTTCCTTTCGTGGCGATGCGCGTGGTTTTCTTTGATCCTCCACCTTATCCTTTTTGCTGAGTTTAGACAAGGTAGAGGTTCCGTCCTCTTCTGCAGGCTTTTGCGTTCCCTGACTTCGTTGAGTTCCTCGCAGGGCATTTTGCTGTGCGAAGGAACGCTTTTCAGCAACTTGTTCCTTTAGCGTCATCACACGCGAACCGAATTTTTCTAAGACCTGTTGTTTGGCCTGCACTTTTGCGTTTGAAACCTCGTCTAAAATCGACAAAACCTGATCTTCTTTCTTCACCGCCTTTTCCTTCCACAATGTCATCTTAATTTTCAGATCCCTTTCAATTCGATGGACAAGCTCAACATCGTTTTCCGTGATGATGGCAACGGAGGTACCCTCGCATCCCGCACGCGCCGTGCGACCGACGCGGTGCACGTATGTGGATGCATATTTGGGCACGTCGTAGTGGATCACCAAATTGACGTTTGGGATATCCAGCCCACGTGCAGCGATATCAGTGGCCACCATGATGCGCGCAATGCTAAGCTTAAATAGTGCCAAACTATCGAGACGGTGCTTCTGGGTGAGTAGGGAATCTAGGCTACAAACAGGGAAACCAAGAAGCTGCAGGACCAGGCGCACTAGCTCAGCTCGAAGACAGGAGTTGGCGAAAACAAGTGTGCACTGATCCTTACCTTGCGCCCGCAGTGCTGCCACTAGGTAAGGCAATTTGACAGCGTTTGGGACGAATAGGTAGGCTTGTTGAAGTTTATCAGGAAAAACTTGCCTTGAGAGCTGAGAAGATTGGGATCGGCGAGATTCGCCATCCTTTTCGTCTGTAGAACCTGGATCTGCATCACGCTTTTCGGAGGCCCCTGGGTTTGTGGAATCTACTCCTGCGTTATTACCCACTTGTTTTTGAAAAATATGCTCAGAGGAACCGCACATATGCACCTCAAATTGTTCCTTTGAATGAATACCAAGCAACGACAACAAATTCATCTCGCTTTTTGTATCTTCTCCAGCCTCAAGATTACCATGCAAATCATCAGTTCCATTTTCTTTTGACGTGTCAGAAGGAAGGTAAGTTAATCGAGGTTGCAGTGTCGCTGTAAACATAAGCACCTGTCGGCGAGTTGTGGGCGGTAGCAAGGAGCTCAAGAGATGCCGCACGTCTCCGTAGATGTCACCCTCCGTTAACCTATCCGCTTCATCTAAAACGAGGAACCTCAGATATGAAAAGGCCTTTGCGGTCTCAGTGGAAAAGGTAGTTAGCAAATGCCGCAGGCGCCCTGGTGTTGCGACGACGACATGTGGCCTGGATTTGATGGCATCGAGCTGACTGTCATGATGCACGCCGCCGATCGCCAACATTATGCGTATACGCAACGGTGCCCCGAGGGCGATGAAATGATCCGCAATTTGATAGGCCAACTCCCGAGATGGCGTCAACACAAGCGCGAACACCCCGTAAACATCCTCCGAGAGGATTTGAAGGATCGGCAGGGAGAAGGCTGCAGTTTTACCGCTACCAGTGGCCGCACCGCCAACGACATGTTTGCCAGCCAGAATAGGTGGAATACAGATCCGTTGGATGGGTGTAGGCTCATTGAGAGCCATATAGGCACACTGCTTGGCAAGCCAGGTATCAATCCCAAGATGCTCAAAGTTACTCATTTACCGCGTTGATGCTACCTAGATTTGACACTTTTCTAGAGATACTTCACACTATGCACCTAAAAAATTAATAAAGAGTTTCTTTCTTTTAAAAATAGCATTTCGCAACCGCGATGCATCGATACAATATGTGTTGAATGGTAAGAAAGTAAATACATTAACTCCGAGTAGCGACACGCTCTCCCAGAAGGGAGTACATAAGACGCAAACTCCACCAATTTCCGAGCAAAGTCTGTCATAATATTAAGAATAACAATTACATTTCGGCAGTTTAATTGAAGTGAAATCATATTAAAACTATATCATCAGATTCCTGAACAGTTGCAAATGGGAGAATCTATGAGGTATATTAATTGATAGTATGCATATGGTATATTGCTCGTACAGAAGCCCATCTTTCCCTGTTAATCTTGTTATTTTTTAGTTGATCCAATATTAAAATAGTTTAGCACTTCAAATGAAAATTAATAGATAATAAATGGTCCGCATCCACCCTTTGATGCATCCCTTTTCGAGTGGGTTGAAAGCTATCATTTTTTCGAATATTTCTATAGAAGCATATCGAATGTTAGCCCATTCTGCACAAGCACTCCTTATGTCCAACTCCTAGATATTTTTTTTTACAAGTTGCTTTCCAGACTCTGCACGCGTTTCCCGTTAGCATAGAAGTACGATGGGGTACGCATCGAACACAGCTCTTCAGCGCTGGTTGGATGTACGCAGATCGTGTTGTAAAAGTCACTAATCTTGGCCCCCATTTTCATGCAAATCCCAACCGCCTGGATAATCTCCGGACTGCTCTCTCCGAGTAGATGCACACCTACCACCAGCCCGGTTTCATGGTCCGTAACGATGCGCGCGATAAACTGCTTGTAGGTCGAGCCACTGATTTTGTGCATGAGGGGTGTGAATTGAGATTCGTATACGGCCACCTTCGCGTACTTATCCGCCGCCTTTTCCTCGATTAGACCGCAGCTTCCGATCGGCGGGATCGAAAAGACCGCGCAGGCGACGTTCGAGTGGTCCACAACATCTCGGCTTCCGCCAAAGATGGCGTTGATTACCATAAACGCCTCCTTGATCGCAACGGGAGTGAGCATAATCCGGTCCGTTACGTCGCCGACTGCGTAGATGTTGGGTAGGTTCGTCTTCGAATGCTTGTCAACCCGCACCGCGCCGTTCTTCGCGAGCTGCACGCCGACGGCCTCTAAACCCAGCGAGGTCGTCGCGGGCCGGCGCCCAATCGCCTGAAAGACCACGTCGTAGTCGGCCTCCTTCCCACTCTCGAACACGACGTGTTTGGAGCCGTCTTCATTGAGGGTGATACGCGCGGGGTTCTCTTTGGTGAGAATCTCGATCCCGTTTGCCTCCATCTGCTTCATCAAAGCCATGCGCAGCGTCAGATCGAAGCCGCGGAGGACGTACTCGCCGCGGTAGCAGACCGTTACCTTGCCGTCCGCGGGTTTGTATCCGTTGAAGATGCCGGCGAACTCGAGCGAGATGTAGCCGCCACCGATACAAAGCACGCGTTTAGGCACTTCGGGGAGGTAGAAGGCCTCGTTGCTGGTGATGCAGTGCTCGTCGCCTGGAATACCAAGCCGCTGCGGCCAGGACCCTGTCGCGAGGAGGAAGTAGTCCGTCGTGAAGGTCCCCACCACCTTGCTACTCGGATCGGGCGTTTCGTGCACCACCACCGTATTCGCGTCGGTTAGAATCCCAAAACCCTCCTGGAAGCTCAGCAACTCCGTATCCTTAAACATTCCAAGGTAGCTCTCGTTGATTTCCGTTATCGCTTTGTTTTTCGCGGCGATGAGCTTACTCCAGTCCGGCTGAAGGGTGGTCCGGTTCAGTTCCCAGCCAAACCCCGCGGCCTCGCGGATGCTGTCTTTATACCCGGCTCCCGTAACCATGAGCTTTTTGGGAACGCAGCCGACGTTGACGCAGGTGCCACCGAGAGCGGAGAAGTTCGGCGGACCGTGATACGTTTGCGTGTTGATCACCAACGCCTTTTTCTTGTACTCTGTAGCAGCATTCCACGCCGCTTCTAGGCCACCGGAGCCACCACCTAGCACGATCAGGTCGAAGGCTTTGGCCATCTGAAAAAAGGATTGACGGAAAATTGTTAAAAAACTGTGTATATATTATGCACGCTAAAAACACAGACCTCAAAATTAGTATAGCAACAAAAAACGCAAGTAGAAAAGTCCTAAACGCAATGATACGCTTGAAAAATAGTTTGAATAACTTAATCACGTAAAGACGAAGTCATAAAATTTGTGATGAATCAGCGTACATATGATCGTATGCATATATATATATATATCTGTCATTCATAAGACGTTTTAAGGCTTCACCATCCTGCTCGAGAATCACTCCAAAGAGTTTACTGAATTATCATATTTCTACTGTAAAATATCGTGGATCACCTCCTCCAAACAAATACGAATTGATGGGAAAACCTCCAGACTGCACCAGATACATACCAAGAACACCCATATATTCCTTTTCTACCTATTTCGCACACATTGGGGTATAGTTCAGGATTGCGTTGTCCTATAACGCATCTCCTCTGTGATGGTGGTAAGAAACACTACTTAAACACACCCCTTGGCATCTTAGGTCCATTCAGGGGAAACGGCGTAATATCTTCGATATAGCGAACCACAAAGTCTGCGGAGCGGTCCTGCACCGCGCGAACCGCGCCCTGACGGCCATTGTAAAAGCCCATGACGCGCACAACGAGTTCAATCTTTTCGTTTCTCTGCATCGGCCTGCCATCGGCGGCGCGCTGCTCACGAATTTTCGGGAGGAGATCATTCAGATACATGCTGGTCACCTGATGCCCGTTGTCAGTCGAGCCGTCGGCCCGAAAGCCGCGGTCGCCACCCTTCAGCCCTCGGTTACCCGCCGTGTACGTTGTGAGAAGCCGCTTGCCCTCGTAGTTGTAAGCGACCGCGTAGGTGTTGCGACGCCTTGAAACTAAATACAGGAAAACCATATCCCGATGATATTTCGGCATCTCGCCCCATAAGTCTAGCTGTGAGTAGTTAATGATGGACGCATCTGCCGCGTCTGAGGTCGTGCTATCCTTTAGAAGTGAGTAGCCATAGCGATCCTTAAAATAATCCTCACCAAGCACGCGTTCCGGCAGATCACTATGGGACGACTCTTTTAGCTCTTGCTCGGGAAATGCAGCGTTGGCATTTTTCGGATGCAGACGCTCGTGCTCCTGCTCATACCATTGTAATTGGTTAAAGCCACGCGTGGTACTAAACGCATCCTGCTCGATCAGTTGCTTCATATCCTCCGCGATGCTCTCACGCGTCGTGCGCGCGATACTCTCCTGAAGATCTTGCTGTGGTAGCCGCGGGTGGATTCCGGAGCTGCGCGCCTCATCAGACGCATCGGGGGCGCTGCGCAGGACCTCCTCATTCGCAGTGCGGATGAGAAACTCCGAGAAATATTGCTGCCCACCTTGCTGGGGCTTCAACAAGCTCGGTACGCGGCGATACTTGTCGGGAAACATACTTGCGCGTGGGCGCGGCTTGCCTCTGCGCAAAAGCACCAATGTCCGTCTTTGCATTCCTTCAGTGGTGGGGAAAGCGAAACTCACAGCACCGTTTTCTATTCCTGCTTTACTTTGCGTTGACATGGGAGCAACGTGAGGGAATAGACAAAAAAGGAGCGAAGGGAAAGTGAAAAATAGCCCATGAAGGACAGCCTTAGAAGAAGTCAAGTGCGAATATCATAGGCAAAATCCAATAAATAAACAAGCAGGAAGAAGAAATAAAGGGAGGAGAGAGATGTGGAGTGGTTTATAGTACACCCACAAATTCGCTTCTTCGTACCTTCCTTGAGATGCATTTTTGTTAGATTCACACCCCACGGAGGGTGTACTTATCCCCACATTTCAACAGCACCCCAAATTCGTTTAGCTGGTGCAGCATCGCATTCCCATCCCGACAGCCGGCCTCCTCACAGGCCTGAAGGATGGTGTTGTGCGAGAGCCGGTTGACCCCGCCGCCACGAATAATTGCCTCCTTAAGCAGATTAATAACCACCTCGCGTTGGGTACTTTTTTTCCCCCGCCCCCCAGGCAGCCCACTCAGGGTTTCGGACGCCGCCGTCGAGCACGCGCCCGGCGCGGAGAAGCTTCTCAGGCAGTCCTGCACGAGGTTTACGGCGTACTCCGCGTCCTCGCGGGAGACCTCGGTGCGCAGCTCCACCTTCGCTCGCGCCTCGGCGAGCCGGACGAGGGCTTGAAGGTAGCGTGGGGTGACGAGGCCCTCACGATGGCGACACCCCGCCGTCGAGGAGCCCCCCGCTCCTCCTTCCCGCTCCGCGAGGTAATGCGCCTTGAGCACCGCCAGCGCAGCCGCCGAGAGCGTCGGCTGGCATTGCGAGCGGCAGAAAAGGATGAACTGACGAACCAAATCGTGTGGTAGCACCGCGACCCCCCCAGCGCGGGCGGGCGCGCCGGAAGGTCCACCACGATTCGCACCCCCACCTCTTCGTTCCCTCTCGCCGTTTTCCGTTTCCGTTTCCTTTCCTTCGTCTCCCTTGCCATGGCGATGCAGGTTGAGAACGTGATGGGTGAGCCCGGTATCCCAGTCGCCGGCCTCCTCCGCCGGGGCATCCGCGCCCTCCCGTCGATCCTGCAGGCAAACCACCAAATCAAAGCGGCTGAGCAGCGCGCGCGATAGATTCACGTTCGCCATGATCGGCTTGCTAAAGTCAAACCGCCCGCCGATGGGGTTGCCCGCGGCGAGGATGGAGGTGTGCACGGGCATCGAGAAGACCATCCCCGCCTTCGCGATACTCACGCACTCCTGCTCCATCACCTCCAGCAAGGCCTTGTGCTCCGCCGCGGTTTTGTCGATTTCGTCGATGCAGGTGACCCCGCCATCGCCGTGGACGACGGCGCCGGCCTCGAAGGTCGCGCCGCCCGTCACCGGATCCCGCACGAGCGTCATCGTGAGCCCGCAGGTGGAGGAGGTGTGGGCGCACACAAAGGCACTCCGCGGCGCGATCGCGCAGGCCGCGCGCAGCAGCTGCGATTTCCCCATCCCCGGATCCCCCAACAGCAGGAGGTGGATGCCGCCTCGACAGCCCACCTTGTTCGTCGGGGAGCCCCCGACGATGGCGAGCAGGATCGCCTCTTTTTCCCGCCGCAGGCCGTACAACGAAGGGGCAACGGAGGCCGTCAGACGCGCAAACCATCGCGGATGACGCGCCATTTCGTAGTACCGCGCACACTCATCGGGAGACCACCAACTCCCCGTTTCCCCTCCCCCTTCCGCGGGAGAAGGGCTGGGGGTTCGCCACCAGACCTCCTTCGCCGCCTCGATCGAGCGGGCGTGGAGGCAGAGGTGTTGCACCCCCCCTCCCCAGGACGCCCCGGCGCGGCGGAGCTCCCCTCGGTAGGTGTGCAACACCCCACACACCCACACCGTCTCCCCTACGGTCACCCGATCCAGCAGCGGGTGGCGAAGCTCCACCTCGACGACTTTGTAGGCCCCGCCGGAGGACTCCTTCCCCGCCCCGGCGGCGCGTTGCCCGTCAAAGAAGTCCGTGTGCTCCTGCAGCTTTAAAAACTGCACCTCCTCGCAGACGGCGTGGTCGGGGAGGGGGGTCCATTTGTACCCCCGGCACCGCCTTTGGCCTCGCCCGTGGCAGGGGCCTGGGTAGACCAGAAGGCCGTCCTCCGTCGCGAGGGTCTGAATCGCCTCGCAGAGGCCGCAACGGTACGTCATGCGAAGGCAGCTCAGTCGAGGGGGGCTCATCCGAACAACGGTGCCTTTGAGCGTGAGCAGCCGGCCGAGCTGGGCGGCGCCGAGCTGATCGAACGGCAGAAGCTGCGTGGGGTCGCCCAGGACGCCGCAACTCACCCGCATGCGTGGCCTCGCGGAGGGGGTTTCGCCATCCAACGAACGGGAAGGGGACCCCCGGCGGGACTCCCGCAGCGCCACGAAGAATTCAAGCAAAGGGAGGACGATGTGGGGCTGCTGGCAGAGGAGGGAGGCCATCTCGCGCGAGAGCACCGCCGCCGAGGGGCCGCCCACCGCCTCGCCGAGGACATCTTCCGGGGAGGGGCCTTTGAGGGCGAGGTAAAACACACACGTGGCGGGGAGGACGTCGGGATCCGCATCCAGGTCCTCCTCGTTCTCTGGGAAGGCCTCTTCCGGCCCTTCGATCGCATCATCCCCATTCGTACCATCGCCGTTGTCGTGGGAGGTGGGTTCGCGAGGATAAGGTGTCGTGAATGGGGCGGGCAGCGCCGACGGCGCGAGCGATCCGACCGGGATCAACTTCACATCGTTTAAAATCGGAAAGAAAAGCTGCCAGATCTCATCCACCACGGGATCCGTGTAGTCCAAGAGCGTGGGGGGGCCGCCGTTGCTGCTGGAGCCTTGTAGGGCGCCACAGTAGCGCTCCCAGAGGAGCCGCACCATCGCGGGCTCAGCCCCGACTTGTTCCTTCATTAGCTCGCAGTTTCCTTATCAGCCGTACCACAGTGGATGGGGGGGGGGGGGGAAGAGAGGAAGGTAACAAACAACGTGAGCGATATTGGCGGTTGATTTGACCTTCACCCTCTTCCTGCCTCAAGGCTTTTGTGGAGAAAATTCACCTTGGAATCGTTAAAAAGGTACCTCTACAAGTGAGAAGAATAGAAGGGGGAGGGAACACAAAGAGATCAACATAAAAGTTCAAATTGGCTACCAAGGAATTGGTACACTATGAAACAAAGCGCTTCATCTGTACTACTTGTTTCCGTAATTGCCTTTGCGAATCTCGTTGTATTCGTTATCCCGTACTGATCAAAGCAATGTTACGACGGGAGAAATTCCAGAACACCGATGAACAGTAAGATAATTTCGTCGCTTATAGTTTTAAATAAGCCTTCATTTATAGCTCGAAATATGTTTGTATATTTATAAATATATATATATATATATTAGCACCTGTACGATACAGAGGGTTAAGGTTTCGTGCCCTCGATCCTTCACCTTTTAGTTTTCTTTTTATAAAGGTGTGGCGATTATAAAAGCTTCTTTTCGTTTAAACATTTAACTAAACTGCCATCCAGCATCATCTGCCTAATCACATCATAGCCACCAAGAAGCTCACCGTCGATGTAGACTTGAGGATAGGTTGGCCAATCACTATACTTTTTCAATCCCTCGCAGACTTCGTCATCCTGTAGTATGTTGAAATACACGTACTCGAGACCAAGTTGGTTTACAAGATCGATGAGCCGCACCGTGAAGCGACAGCGGGGTTCCTCTGGGGTACCTGTAATGAAGAGCACGATGCGATCGTTATTGATAATTTTGTACAGATCATCGGCTAACTCTTTGCTGACATCTGATGGGGCGAGTAGGGTAGGACTGTGGTGCAGCGTCTGTCGCTGTGCTACACAACTGGGGCACATCTGATGCAAATATGAAATAAATGGAACTAAACTTAAGCGACGAAACATTGTAAAGTTACAGGAAAAAAATGTGAAAAGTTCTTTATCTGAGGGAAAAGTCGATGTAAAGGGTAAAAGACGACTTTCCAAATTAGCTCATAAGCTTTTCCTCTTTCTGCAGGTACAACGCGAGTGGACTTTGCTCCTGATATAGAATAGTAGTAGTAGAGGAATAAGATGAAGTGATGCGAATCCAAGATTCGCAAACGCATGACGCAACTTGAGTCATCGTTCTGTTGCCGCCTCCTTCCTCCCCCCAAAACACAAAAAACAGGAGATGATAGTGAGGGAAAGACAAGAGGAAGCGCAAACCACGGTGCGGTTATTATTATCCTTTTGAAGAATCAAACCTACTCCCTACACTATGGGTGGAGGTTTGGGTGTAGTTTTCGTCCTCTAAGAACTGCATACGAGATTCAAGACGCCGTCATAATAAATCATTGACTTCAAAACGCTCCTCCCCATCCCGGACGACTTGGTTGCATCGCACGTGAATAGTGAAGCATCTCCCACTGCGTGATTTGCGTAGGTTACGACGGAGGGACGATGATAAGTCCACGGTTGCCCACCATAAGGCGCGTGCACCGTGTGTAGCTCAAACGGCGGGGAGAGAAAACGCGACCGGCCGACGCCCTTTTCCTCATCCCCGCCCTGACGTGAAGTGACAAAGGCAAAGCCGTTCGACCCTAACGATTCCGTCAACACCCGCGAACGCGAGGGGGGGGGATTCGCCGCGATACCCACGTCAAGCCCCTTTCCTCCCCCATCCACACTCCTTGGGGGATATCCTTTTTCGTCTTCCTCGGATTCGCGTTTGAACCCCATTTCCCCCCCGCCCGCGTCGTACTCGCGGCCCACTTGGATTCGTTTCCACCACACCGGCGAGCGCGGCCACCGGTCGTCATAACACGCCCACCACGACCCCCCCCTTTCACCAACACCCTTCTTTTGCAACACCAACGAGTAAAGATGCGTTGCATCCCCTTCTTCGCCTTTTCCTCCACCTTCGCCTCGCGTGAACCCCGCCGTTCGCCAGCCCTCTCCACGAAAAGGGAAGACGGCGATCTCTTCGAGCGTCGACGCGCGGTGGAGGACCGCCGCTCGCGGGTACGCCGCCCCGACGACTGCCGCGCGGAGATCAAAAAATGACGCCCGTACCCCCCCCATAGAGGGCGGCGATGGCAATCCCACCGCCCACGCACGACTTCCTTCCACATCCGCCTTCCACAGCCTTGTCAACCCTCTTTTTTCGCCTCCGTTGGCGTCGTCGTTGTCGTCGGCGGATTCGCCCGCCTCGTGGGTGCGCTGGCAGAGCGCGTAGGCGCCATCGGCGGTGGCGGGCATCACCCAACGAAGGGCCCTCCTCTGCGTTGCCCCGCCTTCCCACACCGCCCCGACGAAAATCGTCGCCAGTGAGGAGGAAAAAGACGACGAAATCGACGAGGCGGCCGACGACGAGGCGGGGGAAACGCGGCCGACGGTGAGGACCGACGCCGCGTCCCCGGCGGCGAGGAGCAGCGCCGCGGGATCGCCCCCGTCGGCCTCCTCGCGGAGAATCGCCGCGGTCGTCATCCGACGATGCGGTTGTGGGAAAATCGCAAGGCCTCTCCTTTCCCCTCCTCCTCGTTGCTGTAAATCCACGACCCCAACGCATTGCGGGGCGCGAAGGGCGACGAAACGCCGCGAGGGCCCCGCCACGACCCCTTCGAGATCCCCCCATCCGCAGCGGAGGGTGCGGCAGGCGAGCCAACCTCCCTCGCTTGAGGGGAAGGCCGCACTCCTTTCCTCCACCGAGGTTGCCATGTTGTGAAATGTCGTTTGGAACCTAAATATGGTGCGTAGCTAATCAATGTTTTGAGTTGTTAAGTTCGAGGCCACCCTTTCCGCCTTTCGCTTCCTCTCCCCTCCCCACTGCGCACACCGGATAACAAAAAATGGGAGTGGGAAAGATAAGTTAAAGATTAGTTTCTTCAATTTTGTACTTTTCATACCATTGGTAAGGAATACTTGCCAATGCGTATCCAGTAATTCGAAGTCTAAAACACATTCAAGCTTTTAGTTTATGCGGTCGTCTTGCCATACATTTTAAAAATTATTCAAGGCTGCAATACAAAAGCAAATATTGAAAAACACGATTCTTTTGACGACTCCCCCCGTGGTGAGGGTGTGCGTATGGACATGAGGTGAGGAGTGCAACAGGGGGATAGGAAAATGGAAAAATGCCAAATTGAAATAAAATTAGGATACAATGCCTGAAAATATATAATTGGTAAGTATTTGAAAGAATTAACCCAATTGGCGTCGCACTGCGCATACATCTTAGGTATACATTCAGGATTTAATTAGTTCGATACCGTGTTTTATTCAGCCAACACGTGCATTTCATTTTAAATACTCCAATTTGGAATAAAAAAATAAAATCCAACAAAATGATAGCACACTAAACACTATTCAATATTAAGAAGAAGTCCACCTCCTTCATAGGGGCTCGTCATATGATGACTTGAGCTTAATATGTAATTACGTGTGTGCAAATCCAGGGGGAGGGAAAGGTAAGACACAAGTCATACATTCGTTAAACACGAGGGGAAGTTCAACATAGTCATACTTCCCTATTGCATAGGAATTCAAGTATGAATTTTAAGAACTAAGGGTGCTTAATTTATAAGATGTGCGCATAAAAAGAAAATTAATTGTGTATAAAAAGCTTCTGATCCGACAGATTGTCAAATTTTATCGATCATACCGCCTCCACAGGGGTATTTCGTTACATCGCCTAGGAGCTACCTGTTGCAGGGAATCCTAGAAGGACCTTGACAGAATCGTATACTGCCCACTGCATGGAGCTCCAAATGGCCATCATAATCACCCGAAGCAGCAGGCCACGCCAAATATCTCTCCACGTTAAGCTTCTGATCAGCTGAAGCAGCGGAGTCCTTCCTTTTTGCCCATTGCCAACCGAACCTTTTCTAGGAGTAGAGCTAGCGAATTTGACCTCTTCGGCATCATTCAAGTTGAGCGCTGATGTAGCCTTTGAAGACCCATTCATTGGCTCTTGGTAGCTCACGACCCCTCCTTTCTGCCTGCCAACGGTTATTTCAGAGCTACGCGTTAGGCCGGCGTCTGAAGCACCACACTTCCCAACCTCCACAAAGGTTTCGGACGGTAAATCGGTACTGCATTCGCCTTTATCGTGATCTTCCCGTGATGGGACGATCACAGGGGTGAGGCCATCCTGATAAAGCTTGGAAAGGATGGTATCGGCGGGGTGGCTTGCCGCTGCGCAAATAACACCAGACAAGGCTCCAGCTAACAACGAAAGACAAATATGAGAAAAGCCACTCTTGCTATTGTTGTTTACGCCTTTGCCGTTGGTTTCGTTCAGGTTAAAAAAAATAGAGTACAGGAAACGCACTATTCTTTCGAAACAGATAAATTTTATGACGGTGGACGGTACCTGGCGACACCATAGTGGAATGAGGCCTCTATAGAAGGTGTACAGTCCTCCTTGCGACCACATCCGAAGAATCACCTCCGACAGGCTTGTCGAGTTCGTTCCTGACGTTTGAACCTTGATTTTAATTGCCTCACAAGGGGCTAATGACAGATCCGCCACGATCTCCGCCACACAGCTCGCAACTAAAATACCCAGGGCTTCTTGTGCTGAGTATCCGACCACACAAAAGGCATACTGTTCTTCTGCGCTCGCCTCCGCGCGTTTATTAATCATACTCAAGATATAGTACTTGAACGCTTCATACAGAAAGAACTTGATCGAACCTTGGACCAGATACCCACACGTGGCCGGCAACCATCCACGATATAGTATACCAAGCGCCTGCAAACACGAGCCTTTGGCCTCCGTCTTGAAGATGGATACGAGGCCATCTGTGAAGCCCCTGCACCTGCCAACCTGAATTCGACATTTGAGTATGTCCATCGGGAGGACAAACGCGTGGGGGATCCCAGATAGCGCCCCCGCAAAGGCGCAGTAGCAAAAGTATGTGAACGAGTAGAGCGCAACTTCTTTTGGAGCACTTTCCGTGGGGGTGTCCCCTACACACTTCCATATTACATAGACCCAAAATAGAAACATATAAAGGAAAAAAACAGGAAAGACCCACGAGTCCGAAAAAGAGGAACAGTTTGAAAGAAATGTTAGCTTTGATCTAAGGCCTTGAGCTCTACTTTTGTAGTTCGTTGCCACTTTCTCTTCCGCACTTACCACTCTACTTTTAGTGGTGATGGGGTTCATTTTCGAGAGGACGCGACCCATTACAAACCTAAAATTATATTACAAATCAATAAATACCACACACAACTATTTATATACACTTTTACTAGTCAGACCAAACAAACGTATAAGATCTCCTTTTAAAAAATCTAAGAAAGACGAATCATTCTACATTACGATTGCAAGATAAATTCCATAAAGCAATGTAAAAACAAAGTGAAGATAATCCATTTTTTGTTGTTGTTTTTAGAGACAAGGCTCAAATACCTGTGTCTACATTGCGGTATCTTTCGATCGCCGGGTGTACAGTAGGATTCATCGCACACATCTAACTATTTTATCGTTTTCACTGGTGATTGTCTTGGGTGCATAAAAAATACTTCAGCTCAAAATTGCCGCACAGTATGTGGGTAGCACAGACGACTCCTTTCATAAATAAAAGGTGAGCGGTGGGAGGGTAGCCCTATTGTGTGTTTGAATCACGAAGTGGGATTCCGGTAGGCATAATTAAGGAATGAAGCGACCAGCAGAAGCGTCCACTATAATCATCCTATCTCATTGATTTGATTCACCCTGTACCCTTTTCAGACAATGAAGATTTGTTCGAAAATATAGTTAACGTTTCTAGACTGAATAGTAAAAAATCATTACATGATCAGGTCAGAATCTCTGCATGAGAGACAGTTGTAATCGTTTCTATGTACCCGCCGAACCTATCCTCGTTCTAGACCGCGTAGAACTATCAAGTGCCTAGAAAATATCGTTCACAGTTTTTGGGTCTATTTTCATTTTTTTCTCATTAAGCGAGGGATGACGATAGCTTTAATTCAGATGCTCCCGCTAAAACTTCAATTGTTGTTTCTTAAAAAAACACACACATCAAATAGTTAGAAAAGGTATTATACCGGTATACACGTGTTCGCAGGAATGGGATGACACATAAATTTATAAAATCCTCCTATCCCAATTGCTTAAAATAAGATTATTCGAAACAAAGCCGTATTAGAGTGAAAATTAAAAAGAAGAAGACTAACTTGCAGTTTTCCCCAAATTTATCTCTGCTATTTACTATATATATGTGTGTTTGTGTGTGCTATTTTCATCTTCGTTTAGTCATTTGTGCACATTTTCCCGTTTGCTTGTCCTTTGGACTAAATAAAACCACACACACACATACATGATGTGTAACGTTTTCTTCTCTAGAAGAGAAAGGGAAGGCGACACGCTTCATTCACCAATTTCCATTTTCCAAGGAAGGAGGGCAAACGTGCGGAAGGATTCACGCAGTCCAAAAACAATTAGGTCTAAACCATAGTCTCGCTATCCGCACGATGCATGGAGGCAAATCAAAGTCTTTGTGTGTGCATGCGTGATGGCTTTACCTTATTCCGCCTTCGCCTTTGCGGCCGCGGCATTCTTTCCCAACACCTTTCGCCGCTGTGAGAGCATATAGGTGTACATCACATAGCTGCCGATGGGATAGATCCCGAGAAGAACCCACACTCCATTATACCAAGAGAAGGTGAAGTTCATCTTATTCGGCAGCTCCACCGTCCACGGCTTGTTTTCCCGTATAAAGTCCATCGCCTTGTACAAACACATCGCCTCGCCGCTGATGCCGAGCGGGTAGAGCAGCATAAACGCGGAGTACCGCAACCACGTCAGCCACCCCGTTGCCTTTCCTAAGAGGTTCGCGCCGTAGAAGGTGTATCGAATCACCTCGCTCAGCGCCCAGGCGATGAGCATTTGAAGAAAGGCAGGATCGCGTCGCGCGGGCGTCTCCCCGATGCGCACCGCCCCGTAAAGGACGAGGAGACGGGAAAGCAGCTGAAGCAGCGTCGTCCCCACGGGGCTCCGCACGAGGCCGATCATCGCGTGCACGACCTCGGCCGCCGCGCCCGTTTGGAAGAGCACCAGAGGGACCGCCACGGCGTCGTAGACGGTGGTGGAAGGGCCGCCACGGAGGAGGTGGATCGCGGCGCGCCCTAACACCGTCGCCCAGCCCGCCGCCATCGCCGTGTTGTAGAGGAGAAGATAAGTTTTCTGAGGGGAACCCGCCCCGGTTGGGTTCTTCGTCGTGGCGTCTTTGGACATGGGTGTGGTGTTGTGGTGGTGTTGGTTTTTCTTTCTGGGGGTGTGTTTGAGGGGGTGAGGTCGCCAAAAATAAATAAATAAATGGATATCGCTCTATTGTAGCGGTTTAGTTTATCACTTTTTTTTTTTGAAGTGAGTGAGTGCGTTCGCTAGGGTATTGAGAAAAAAAAGACTAAAGGAGCAAAGGAAAACACGACGACAATGAGGATTAATAAGATTGGTAATTTCGCTTGAATACAAAGCATCTGTCCTGTTTTGCTTCAGAGATGGAGCTTTTTTGTTTTCACGGGATCACGTTACTTTTGTTTTTTTTTCGTTGCTATTACTTCGTTCTAAAGATACACAGTGATTGGTATGTCGTAGTGGACGCCTTATGAGAGGGTTAGCGCTTCGGCTTCTTATTCGGACGCGCTCCCATCAGGTCCCCCATCATCGCCTTCCAGTCATTCGCGTCTTGGGCGATGCGATCCATCTTGAGTTGCTTCTCCAGCTGGATGCGATTTCGTTTCCGTTGCGCGTTTTCGACACGCCGCGCCTCCCGTTCCTCCTCCGTGAGCTGCGGTCGCTTTCGTAGAACGGGGTAGAAATGCCCAACGTGGACGTGCGAAAGAGGGATTTCGACCTCCACGCGATCTTTGCTTTCGTTTTCCTCGCCTTCGCTGGCGTCGGGGAGGTGGGTTGGCGCAGTCGTCTCCGCAGCCTCTCCCTTTTCCGCGGAATTTTCCTTCGCGAAGGAGACGATGACGGTTCCATCCAACGTCAGACGCACGACATTCGCGGGTTTGTAAACCCCCGAGGTGGGGTGGATCGCGTGGCAAGCCGCCCCGCTGCGGAGCTGCGCCCCGATCGTCGTCGCCCGCCACGACCGCAGCGACTCGCTGAAGACGACATCCTCGACGGGGTAGCCTAAAACGTGCGCGCGGTAGCGAACCCGATCGATCGCGCGCGCAGGGGGCACCACCTCCGTGATCACGCATGGATACCACTCCCGGTCATCGTAAAAAATCTCATACGGGGCACACTGCAACGAGGCGCCAGGGGAGGATGTTGCTTCCTGATTCTCCGAGCCCCCCTCCCCATCGGATTTGGCGGTGGGTGGTGGGTATAGGATGATATTCCCCGCTCCGTTTGGTAACTCGACTTTATGGAGGTTCGGCGTCACCTCGATCGTCTCTCCGTCGTTGAGGGCCGCGGCCAAGACCTGGAGCTGCTCCTCGAACTCATGAATCAAGGCCTCAACCTCCTCATCATCCTCGCTTTGCATGGCAAGCGTCTCGGAAAGACCTTTCTGCAACTCTTTGTAGTTGGACAACATGTCCTCCCGCAGGTTTTCACCCATCTTGCCCGTTTTTTTATCTAGTTATTCGTGTGTTTATGTTGGGGTGGTTCTAATTATTTTTTGTGATTTAATTTATTGTATAAAGGTTGTGGTCCTTTAATCATATCTATGTACTCAAAAAAGTGGAAGAGCGGAAAGGGGATTCCCCCCAAGACGTGCGTTATTGAATGTTCAAGCTATCAACGAAGACAGCAAAGGGAGGCAAAGGGCAGTTATAGGAAAAAATGATGCTGCAACGGGAGCTCAATTCTATTTTCTTCCCCCTTTCTCAAACACAGCAGCTAATTTCTTCAGGACGCCGACATTGTCAATCATATACTACACATTACACTAAAGAGCCTAATGTACATTAGCAAAAGTGGAGAATTTTTTAGCATCCTCGTTTTGATTCTCCTTTCCCCTTCCCCCCCCCCCCCCCCCCCATGCAACTACAACCCACCTTCGAAGGGTCCTATAAACCCATCCGTCTTTTTCTCTCCTTAGGTGTGGTAGTACTGTTCGGGTTCCTCCGATCCCCCATTGCCGCTGTAGGCGCTCTCCTCGAACTCCTCCTCCTGCATCCGACGCTGCTCTCTCGACAGGCGCTCTTTTTCCCGCCGCGCCTTTCGCTGCTCCAGGCGACCTTCGATGTTCTGCTTCTCTTCACTACGCCGCTCCAAGATTTGACTTCGCGTGGCGACCGCCGCTCGGAGGACTTTTAAAGTCGCGTCGGAGCGATTCGCGATCGCCAGTTCTTCAGGGGTGAGCCCGCGAATCGGGCACCCCCCTCGCTCCGCCGTGTGGTTCATCGTGGGGGAGGGAAGGAGGTCGGGGGTGAAGCCGACGTCCTGGTGAATTTCCTGCCGGGCATCCGCGCCGAGTTCGATGAGCAGCCGAATCGCCTCGTGGGAACGGCCGAGCACCGCCCAGTGCAGCGGGGAGGCCCGCAGCGGACTTCGTTTGCTCGGCTTCCAACTCACCCGTAGGGGGATGACGGCCTCTTCCCCGGTGTCTCGTGAGGATTCCCCTTGGGAAGGGCCGCCAGCCTCGCCGCTCCCCCCCTGGGGGTCTTCACGGATGGAGAAAAAAACGCCATGGGGGGTGATCTCCACCGGATTCGTACCAACCTGGAGCAACCCAGGGGTGTTGAGATTCCGCGCCAGCGCCGCCTCGCGTATCTCGCGGCGAACAATCCGACGAAAAAGCGCCAAGTCGGCTTGCTGCAACTCCTCGTCGTCCACGTCGTCGTCCACCTGCGCGGCGTCGTTTTTTCCCCCCTCGTAGTCATCATCCGAGGCGGCGCCGAGCTCGTATTGCGCGAGGAGGTTCACCATCTCCGGGTTGGCGTCGATGGCCTCCTCCTCCGCATCCTCCAAGGGGTCCTCTTCGTTATCGATCACCCCTCCGGGCACTCCTTGGGTTGCCAGCAGACGCAATCGCTGTACGTCGTTGTAAAACGCAGCAGAGCAAATATCTTTTGCGCGGTAGACCATGATGATTGCTCTCTGTCACTCTAACAGGATTACTTATTATTGCGAAGCCACGTGTGGTTATGGTGACTTTTTTTCCCCTTTCTTTTGGGTATGTGATAAAGGAAAAAGGTGAAACAAACCCCCCCCAAGAAGAAGATGCGGGAAAGGATACATTATTTGATAAACTTCATTGTTTTCCGTTTCCTTCTTCAAAGTTATTGGTCTGTAATAGTGTTTTTGTTAAAGGGATTTTTCCTAAACACTCTCGTACACCTTCCAAAACGTGCACCGATACCATAGTGGAGTAAAAAAAACATTTTTCCCCTCTAATATAATGAAATACGTACCACAACGCTAAGCAGGGGGGGCTTGCAGTCGTCGCTTCATGGCTCTCCGCATATTCTCTTGCGAACTCAGCGTTTCCATTATCTCAAGTCGTTGATCCAACATGTTTTGATATTGGGGGTTGTTCTCGATATCAGCCACGCTCATTGAAGAAGACAAGCTGTACTTTGAAAGAAGAGCAAATTTGAAAAGCAATGCACCGAAAAAAAAGGCGCAGAAAAAGTACGCGTTACGACGTACCGCACGAAAACCTAGAAGCTCTTCATACGCCGTAAAGGGCTTGTAGTAGGCCCTGGGCATTGAGTTAATTCCTTTAGATAAAATACTGAAAGAAAGAGGTAATTACATGTATACATATATATAGAGAGAAATGGAACCATATATATATAAATGACGGCACATTTATTTAATTTTAGCATTTGCTTTCGCTGTATGACGTTTTTTTTTTATTATACAACTGTAGCCACAGTTAAACCAGATGTTGACGGTTCAATTCACGTGCTTGTTCTAGGAAAGATAAAAAAAAAAGGATGTACCCGAACGCAAGCAAAATCATAAGGTTAATATAAGGCAAGGTGTTTTTTTTTGCTCATGCAAAAATTGCACCCCGAAGAGTTAAATATATTCTTGAAAATTCCATCTTTCATTTTGTATTTATTTATTGGGTTTCACACTTCATTCGTTTACTTTTTCTCTCAGTTTGTTTGTAGCCTCTCTCAAACATCACCATTTTAGACTTTGAATGTTGCCTTTGTTAAGCATCTCTTCAAAATCTTTCTGCCGATCAACGAATACACACCGCACCGCATCCAGGCCGACGCGCTCCAGTATCTCTCTCGCAAATTTTTGCGAGAAAAGAGGCTTTTCCGCAGGAGCAGCCCCCTCCCCCTCCCCTGTCGAGGCGGGGGCGTGAATCCCATTCTGCTGGCAAGACGACGTCGCGTGATCCCACTTTGGAGCTTCCGTCGAGTCTTTTTTCGCCAAATTTCCAGAATGCGATTCTTCTTCTTTGAAATCTCCACAATTCGCCTCACCCCCCTCGCCATTCTCCAAACAACTTCCCGAGACGTGCTCTGGATTCATCAAAAACTCCTCAAAAACGCCTTCCACCGCGCGAAGCGTTGCCTCGTGGTTTTGCGGCGTGTGCGGCGATCGACGAATCTGCCCGCCGCCGTTCAGACAACCATCTGGGCATGCCATCATCTCAATAAACGTGTAGGAACGCACCGCCGGGAGGTTCTTCTTGAGCCCCCGCACGATGTTCTGAATCTGCTGAAATCCATAGGCGACGCAGAAAACCTCCTCCGGGAGCGCCGCGCAGCGCACGAGCTGGTGGTTTCGATTCCGCTTCGTTTCGTACTCAAAGACCGGCGTCGAGGGGGATCCCGCGGGATCGCCGGTGTCCTTTTCCGCCTCCGCGACGGCATGGCGCCACGCCTTCAGCATCGCCTGGTGGAGATACCCGCCGCTGCCTTCGACGCGCGCGAGGGTTTCGTTCGTGGGGTTCCGCCCCCCCTCCAGGGCGGGGTCGACCTCGGAGTCGAGCGGGGCTCGCCAGGGGAGCGTTTCGTCGACCTCGCGCATCCACTCCAGCAGCTCCGCGGTGCTCAACACGCAATCCGTGTAGGGCACCTTTTCCCCCCCCGCTTCTTCCCCTTCCCCTTTCTCGTTCTCTTTCCCTTCTTCTTCCGGCGCGACTGTTTCCTTCGTTCCGTTGGTCCAGAACCCGCCATCCCGGGCGGCCTCCAACTTCCGATCAAAACACGGCTGGATGGAGACGTGGTAGCAGGTGGCGTCGAGGCCGCGCTTCACCAGCGACCCGGCGATCCCTTGAGGGGAGAGGAAGGGGCTCAGCCGCGAGAGCAGCGCGCCGCCCTGCTTCTCGCAGTAGCACACCCACCCCGGGCAGGCGGAGACGATCAGCGGCAGCGGCGCGGCGCGCGTGAGACGACGTCGGAGGTACTCCCCCGCGGTGAGCTCCGCGCCGATCGCGAGGGCCCAACGGAGGTCGGAGACGAACACCCTTTGCCCCGGATTCCGCGGGATCGCGTGTTTGAAAAACCCGGCCACGCAGCGCAGGGCCTCCGTCGCGGGGCGGCCCATCCACG